TGGAAAATGATCCGTTGGAGTTGGATGCTGAGTGGGAGTCAGATGACAAGTCTTCAGGAGGAGAAGAAAGTGACAAGGAGCCGTACGGTCCCGAGACGCTGGATGAAGCAGTGGAGGATCTCAACAAGGGAGTGGAAACGGCGACCCTCTACATCACTCGCCCTCTACGACGGAGAACCGGACTACATGTACTACAAGCCGCCAAAGAAATTCTTCTCCAGCTACGACAAAGTGGCCTTCATGTGGACGTGTTGCATACGGACCTCCGCCACACGAAAACTGCAGGCGGCGATCCCGCCGGCAACTCAACTGCAGAGTTGGGAGTGAAATGGGCCAAGGGCCGTATAAGAGCCCTACTGAAAGGGGCTGGGATGGATGCACGAGAATGGCCTATGGCAATGAATCATGCTTCGACAAGCTTGTTTGCTAAGGCATTCCCCTTTAGTCCATGGACAACGCAGCCAGCCACCGTGTTCGGCAACGAGGTGTGGTTCAGATCTAAAGTCTACCAGGGCAAGGCCGAGAAGAAGCACGAGGCGGTTGGGACCCGGTGGAAAAAGGGGTGGTATGGTGGACCGCTACTGGATGTGAAGCGGGGACATGTTATCCTACGTGACGACGGTGGGTTGACAATAGCGAAAAGCGTGAAGTTCGGTGTTGTAAATCCCGCTGAAGAACTACGTGATCTACTACCTCCAGCCACTGCGGAAGGGCTACCGGACGAACTACTGCGTGATGAAAGTCCTCCCTCCAGAAATAGAGCTACGGGATGAGATCGAGTTTCGCTCCAGAAAGTTAGTAGAAGAGAAGGACTTCAGCATAAAGAATGTCGTGGACCTCTATGGCCTCCTGGAAAATCTTGGGGATGTGGACAGAAGAACCTCTAAGAAAACTTCGTTTACTTCCTGGTATACCGGGGCATATGTTCACGGTGGGGTCGCAGGAGTGAGAAACAATATTCGTGATTTTCCTTGGACAACTCACTACCTTACGGCCTTTGCTAAGCATCATTGTGGACCTATGGAATTTTCAGCCCTGGGCTTCGCCAAGAACGCACAGCTGGGATTGCATCGGGATGTTCACAACTCGAGAACTTCTACGAGCTGTGTGATGCCTCTACAACCTTTTGAGGGAGGAGAGCTGTGGGTTCATGATGAAGAAGTACCGGAAGCAAGTCGAGTTGAAAAACAGCTACCCAATGGAAAGGTGCTTCCTGGGAGGCTCGTGGAGATGGTTCCGGGACGCAAGGTGGAGTTTCTACCTCGTGTATGGCATGAAGTTCAACCCTGGGTGGGCGACAGGCTAGTGATGCTCCTGTTTACCCCTCGGACCTCAAAACTCACCGAGGAAAACATCATTGACCTCAACGACGCGGGTTTTCCCTTTGACTACAAGAAGGACGATCAGGAGGAGACCGACCTTGAAGGTGAAGAGGAAGATGATGTGCCAGCTTTAAGGGCTATCAAGGCGCAAGACAATGTTGGAGTTGGCTTTGTTGAGATTGAGGATGATGAACTACTTCATGCACAACATGTTGGTGAAGATCATCAAAAGGACCTCCCTGGGGCAGAATGCCAAGAACACCACATCAAGAAGATGCTCAAGAAGGCTGAGGAACAGTACACCCCAGAGATCGAGACTCTCCTGGACGACCTGAAGAAGTCTGGGAAAGGATTAGAGGTTACCCACAACGTGAGTCTTGGTGACGTGCGTAAGAACATTGACCAGTGGCGTTCCTCAGCCTACAAGGAGTTTGCGAACCTCAAGGATGTGAAGAAGGCCTTCACAGTGAGAAAACGAGCTGATCTACCTCCAAATTGCAGGATCGTTCCCTGCAAGGGCGTCTACACCGTGAAGCCAGATAAAGGTCCCGAAGGCTATAGGAGAAAAACAAGATTTGTGGCTTGTGGAAATCATGTACCAGAGGATTCTTCCAGTTTCGACCTCTTTGCCGCCGGCATTGATGCCATGTCGCTCAGGGCAATTCTTACCCTCAACGCCGGCAAGCGATGGAAGATTGGGACAACGGACATACGTCAGGCCTTTGTCCTGGCCCGATGGCTGGGGCAACCAGTGGCTTTGGAGCCACCTTCGATAGCCTACGAACTTGGCTTAGCGGAGCGCGGGGACATGTGGTTCGTGGAACAGGCCATCTACGGCCTGCGGGAGTCGCCGGCTTTATGGTCTCAGTTCAGGGACGGCGAGCTCAGAAAAGCGCGATGGATTGTTCAGATGCAAGGGGAACCTGTTGTTATGAAGTTAGAACAGTTGGTTTCTGATGATCAAATATGGAGAATAGTTCGTGAAGATGGGGAGAACTCGGAGACCTACGGCTTCGTCTTGGTGTACATTGACGACCTCCTGATCCAGGCCGAAGAACAGACGATGAAGGGTTTCTTCGATTAAGTTTCCAACAAATGGGAAGTTGATGCGTTAGAAGTTCTTGAAGAAGGACATCCAATAAGGTTCCTTGGAATGGAGCTGCACCTTGAGAAAGAGGCGGTGGAGCTATGTCAAGAAGGTTTCGTTCGAGAACTTCTACGTTCGTACCGACATGATGGATCCCGCTCGACAAGCCAGGGCCCCAAGGAGCTGTTGATTCTTTCCCATGAAGAAGAACAAGCCTTGCTGAATGCGGAAACGGTGGACCTGTCTGGACAGGAAGCCCAGGTGAAAGAGGCCCAAAAGAGGGTTGGAGAGCTGATGTGGCTCATGAGTCGCACCCGGCCGGATATTCAGTACATTACAGCTTTGATGGCGTCTAAGATCACGAAGAGCCCGGAGATGGTGAATCGTATAGGCCAACGACTCTTGGACTACCTTTGGGAGACGATAGGATATCGAGTGCGCCTTTCTGACCCTACGGAGGAGGGAGAACTTATGTTGAATGTCTTCACCGATTCCTCCTTTGCCCCGAGCGCGGGACGAAGCCATGGTGCTACGGCGGTATTTCTTGGAAAAAGCCCTTTGACGTGGCGTTCATCAAGGCAGCCTCTTGTTACGCTTTCCACAGCGGAGAGTGAGCTGATTGAGGGCATTGAGAGCACACTACTGGGAATGTCGGTTAGGGAAGTGATACAGGAGATACTTCGCAAGACGGTTGTCATCGACTTGTACGTCGACAATCAGGCAGCTGTGACGCTTCTTACGGCGTCAAGTGGGGGCTGGAGAACGAGACACCTAAAACTACGTTCCAATTGGATGAAGGAGAGGACCCAAGCCAATGAAGTTCGTATACATCATGTTGCCGGCACCTACCAGAAGGCGGACCTCGGAACGAAACCCTTTACCAGATCAAGGTTGAAGGAATTAGTCGAACTTTGGAATGTGGTGGATCGGAGGACCTCTACGTCTACGGCATCCGTCAAGGCAGCCCAAGTGGAACATGGTTGGTTGATGAAACTTCTGATGCTGTGCCAGGTTTGTGGTGCAAAGGCTACAAAAGAAGCGCTGGCCACGGAGATTCCATGGGATTTGTATGTTGCCATACTGGTGCTTGCGGTTGCGGTCATTGGAATTTGGGAAGGGATGAGGAGCTGTACCAAGGCCAGAGCCGCAAGGCTCAAAGCTTTGAAATGCAAGGCGACTAAGGCGCTGAAGCTCAGCAAGGCCGAGCTAAAGGAACTCCAACGACTCCTTTCCCTGAACCCTTCGCAGCTTTCCAGCGAGCAGATGAAAAGGATGTATGAACTCAAGGAAAGGTTCGAACAGACTATGCCAGCCAATACCTCTCCTGTCCCGACCGTACCGAGTGATGTTCCCTCCGGAAGTTCGTCGAGAAGCCCCTTGCCTGAGGAGCCCTTTGGAAGTGCAGCAACCCCAATGCGGACTATGTTTGCAGATGTCCCTACTGGAAGTGCTTCCCCACCCTCAGTCTTCAACAAGCAGCCGAAGAAGGAGAAGATCATGTGTGACAAGGAGACCCAGGCGGACTACACGCCCGCTTTCCAAAGGGTTCAGCCACCTCCACCAGTTGAGATACGGATGTATGAAGGACCTTTTACGATGACCCAAGGAAGCGATAAACTACATCTTTTCGATAACTGCTGGGGTTTGCGAAATGCTTCGAGGACATCCCGGGTGCAGCTTTGTCGATGCTGTGCTGAAAACCGCGGAAATCGGATTTACTGATGTAGAGTCGGATCCGAAAAGAGGGGGTTCCACAAATGAGTTACAGTGGTTCTCCCTTGACAGGGGATCCCAAGGAGGAGTGATGAAATCTGTATCCTCCTCTACAGTGCTGAGTGTGTCATGAAACGCTTTGCATGATGCACCGACTTTGTCTCAAAGACACAAGCTTGGAAGTGGCAACATGCGCAGTTGTATAGCATAAGCTCTAAAGCTTCAGTTTGCCAAACTCCTGAGGATTTTGTGCTGTAAGCGAAAAACAGTGATTGCCGCGAGCGATGGTAGGCGCATAGACTGCATAAGCCCTCTTGCCCGGCATCTTCGACAACCTTTTATAAATCCTTATGGTCACTATTACAGGGTGGGGGCCCCTTCTAAGGAGTGCTCTTTATGTTTGGGTCCGGACTTCAAGGCTTTATTGGGATTTAGGGTTCAGTTCTCTCCAAAAGGTTTAGGCTCTATTGAACTAGACTGTCTAGCACCCACACCTTAGGATTCTTTAAGCGATTGAGGCTCCATGGGGGTTTAGTTTGCAGGGTGCAGGGCTCGGATGCTATAAACGGTCAAGCTTTGCGTCTGCTAGCCTCCAAACCCTACACCTTGAAAGCATCCGACCTCCTGTTGGGTCTATGCGGCTTCTACAGGATTTAGAGTTTGCGGCTCAGATGTCTCGCCGGGTTGTTGTGGTTTTTGTTGCAGGGCCTTCCGGGCGAAGTATGTGCGATGTGGCATTGGCGGCAATAGTCCAATGCTTCGCAAAGGAGGGTTAGAGCAGGACCCTATAAACCCTGAACCCCAACAGATTGGTAGCGAGTAGTCTCATCGTCCCTGCCCAAGAAGTTTCTTTACTTGGGGTGCAAGCCGCCATGCAGGCAATCGCGATGCCCGGGAGGCGACATGGGAGGCGCTATGCGATTTGAAACAGGAGTCTCGGCGAAGCTTAGACTCAGAGCGCTGCGGAGATCCTTCACCAGTTTTGAGGTTTCAGTTGGAGGCCCTGGCCCAGTGCATCGAGCATTAAACCGTCTACAGATGGAGTACGACAAATTCACCCATGTAGGGTTCTCCCTGCCCTGCAGGATGCAAACATGTTGTCACAGGGCTTCGGGATCTGCGCTAGATCTTTTGGGTGACCGTGGGCAGCCCTTGCAATTGGGTGAGCGAATGCTGCGCAGCTTCAGTTGCATTCCGACTGGTCTACTGGAAGACGGACTGAGTGATTGCAATCGTACTGCTGACGGTGGTGGTGGTGGTGATGATGATGTTCATGTGCTCATTACACTTGCTTGTCCATGTAGTGTTCAAGAAGCTGTGCTTGCTGTTTGTTGGCACCATGACATTCCTTTTTCAGCTTCAAGGAAACCCTTGCATGTACGCACGAGCAGAAGCAACGTATTTCCCCAGTGTTTACAACAAGTAAAACCCTACTGCAGACAAAGCACCGGAAGGGGTTTGGGATTTGGGAAGTCTGTGGCAAGCTTGCAGGGCTGGAAGCCTTGCAGCGACATTGCCTCGGCTTGGAAATAGCGGAATCTAAAGATCTTTACGATTGCATTGCCTTCATGAGAGTTTCCGTACAGTTTCCTCTCTTGGGCGACCCATAGAAGTGGGTCCTCGATTGGCCAGGCAGGCAGCATTCGCGAGATTGGCGTGTCGAACTTTACCGTGCGGCATCTGAAGGAAGCCCAGCTTCGATTACTTGGTGGAACATGTTGACAGGGATAAGGACGAACAAATTTGATCACCAGTTTTCTGACGTCGTGGCTTGTTGTGGCGTGTTTTATATGCAGTTTCCAGAGGTTTCCATGCTTAGGATTGTAGCTGAAAGCAACTGGGCCACTCTGAAACCTGGTGTAAGCTAGATGCCTCCAAAATTTCAGGAGGTCGTATCAGGCTTTTTATTTCGTGGGCAGGCGATGCACGAAGTACTGTCCGAGGTCTACTCAACGAACCTGTGATTCAAACGGTGAGCTTCCCGATCTTGTTGGGTTTCAAGGACCTTAAACTCATATACACGAAATCCTACACCCAAATCCCTGGACCCTAAAGCCTAAACCCTTATAGAACCTTTTTAGGGACCCTTAAAAGGAACTCTTAAAACAAAAAGCCCTACGCCTAAATCCCTAAAACCCTAGCAGTTCGGAAGTGGACCCAAGGTTCCGGTTTTTGGGGATGTGGGGTTTTTGGGGATCGGGTTTAGGGTATAGGGTTTAGGCTTTTAGGGTTTAGGGTTTAGGGTTTTGGGGAGGTATAGGGGGATCCGGAATTGGTTTCGGGGGTCCAGCGGTAGGCGGGTTATCTGCTCAGGGGTTGAACCTATGAACCTTAACTAACCCAAAGGGTCCTATGTAGTGTTATGGGGAATACTTCCCTAAGTCAGAATAGTAATTCCATATATGGAAACCCTAGATTCTACTATATCGCTACATAGGACCCTTTGGGTAAACCCTCAAAAACTCTAAACCTTGAACCCGCTTATGAACTGGACCCAGAGCCTGCTCCTGGTTGAAGGGCGGGGGCAGGTTGTGTTTGGGTTTTAGGGTTCACGGTTTCGGGTTTAGGGATTTATTGTTCAGGTTTTCACGGCGCATTTTAGGGTTCACGGTTTAGGGTTTGGGGATTTAGTGTTTAGGTTTTTCAGGGTGCACTTTCTTCGGGGCCCTCAACCTTGCTCGCGGTTCTATAGGGATCTGAAAAGGCCTAGGGTTTAGGGGTACCTTATTTTTCGGGGTCATTACAATAAGGATCCTACTATTTAGGGCCGAACCTGTTTGGGTTCAGTCCGTGGCTACGTTTGATGAGCTGGAACAGAAGAGGCAAGCACCCTTTCCGAGCTGTGTCCGCAGTCCCATGCTTCAAGGAATTGGAGGGCTACTCGATGCAGATGCCTGCAGTAAACCAGGTGCGACACTCCTGACAGGGTTTATGTACGGACATCCGACCAATGAAAGTTGAAAGCAGAGAGCCCTGGATGTGAGTGAGTCCTTACGGGTGTGTGGATTGCTCTACGAGATCAAAGAAGGGTGTCCAGTCTTGAAGAGAGGAGAAGTTGGTAATGGGGATGTATGTAGGAGCCTGATTAAGAAACCCTGGGCCCTTAACCCCAAAATAGTTTCTTAATCAGATTCCTACACTATGTGTGTCTGTGCGATGCTTGGTTGATTGGTTGGTCGTGTACGTGTTGTGTGTGTGTGTTTCTTAGGGGGAAAGACAGTGCAGGTGAGAGAACGCATCGTGAAGAGATTTCATTTAAATCGAAACTGAAAGCAAGACAGAAGCACACAACCCAAAACCCTAAACCCTTTTGATCCTGCCAGAACTTCGAAGTCAAAAGACATGGCATACAGCCCGCAATGTCCGCGCAGCTTCCGCCTAAAGGTGCAACCCGACAGTGCGTTCTTCCTCAGACGCAAACATGCTGGCTCTATAGGATACTATAAGGTTCTTTTCGGAGGCTTCCCTTCAAGGGTTCTATAGGGTGGTCTTGTAGAAGTCAGTTGCCATATAGGCAAGGGTAAAGTAAAGACCCTTACCTTTCAGAGCCATTCCATCCTCAAGGGTGTCCACATGAGTTCTTCAGATGCACAGGTGGAGCTGCACCCCTACCTGCAGCAGAAGGAGCTGCTTGAGCACCTTTGTCGATTAGCGAGTCCTATTGGGGCCCAAATGATTACCAACGCTATTTTTTGTCCGGGGTTCCTTATTCTAAGTGTCACATAATATACCCGCAAATCCTATTCTAATTATTAAGGTGTAGCGGTTTAGGGGGTTAGGGTTTGCTGTTTAGGGGTTTAGGAGTTTGAGGGTTCAGGATTTAGGGTGCTTGCAGGCGGTCTTGTTTTTCTCAAAGGGGAAAAGGAGGGACCCTTAATGGGGACCCCTAAAAAATAGTAAAAAGGATGTTTCTGAGGTGCGGTCCTAGGGCCTATATACTGTTGGTTCTGAGACCTTGCCCTACCCTATATAGCCACCTCATCCATTCTCTTACATGTCCGCCTGTTTCATTCCTGCCTTCATCGTCGCCTCATCCATTATCTCATTCTTTGCCCTCTGCTTCATTCCTTCCTTCCTCCCATCATCAACATCGTCGCCTCATCCGTTTCTCATCCCAATAAAAATTTAAGTATCTATAAATTCATTTTTTTCATTTCTTAACATGGTCACCTAATCCGCTTTCATCCTTCATCATATCGCCTCACCCGTTTTCTGGGACTAAGCCCCCTCACACGCTTTACCAAAGATTTATAATAAATTAATATTATAAATATTTGTATATTTTTTATTCTTGTTCTCTATCAAATATTTCATTCAAATGTTTTTGTAATTCAGCAAGATTTAAATATCTAATATCTTTACCAATAAAATTAATGAGAAACTCAAACATTATGTATTTGAACAAAACTTTATCAGGATATGTTTTATTGTAATAACTATAATGTAAGATTAATATGTTTTCTCGTCTGGTAACATGTTTCATTATTTCCTTATTATGAAGAAAATCTAAAACACTATCAAATTTTTGAAAAAACCTTACTCGGTAGTTCTTAATAAAAGATATGATTACTTTCTTGTAAGGGTTATTACTAAACTCAAACATATTGACTAACTTTTTTACTTTTATTGGTACATTATCACCCTCAAAATATACATCAATATTGTCTCGGTCTTTTAATATAAAAAGTTGCTTTTCAAAATTTGTTAGTTTATCTTTCTCAAAATGGTCAAAGTCATAATTATCCTCTAGGTCCATAAGGCGATTGCAACTGCTACAACAACAATTAAACGATTGTATAATATCTGCTATTGGTTCTGGTAATATTTTATTTAAGGTTTCCTTATTCTGTTGTGTTCGCATATACTTGCACTCTTTACACTTACTATAGTCAAAGACAGTCATAAACCCTACTATTCTAAGCCTTTTTGTCTTTAAGTAGTTTTACTTATTCACCAACAATAACTCGTGTCTCATATACTTTTTACTCAACCCTTCAATAACATAATATTTATTCATTTGTAGGTCTCTATTAACTTCTTTCACTTCATACACTTTCTCACTCCACTGACTACGGCTTTCTTTCCTGCTGGTATAATTACCTTTACCTTTCACAAATACTCTGACATCGTCACCGGCTTTTATATTAGGATAATTTCTTAAATATTTTTCTTTCATTACAGAATTCGCTTTTACTTCTATGCTATTCTCGTCTTTGTGTGCTTCATTTGGTGTTAATCCAGTCGTGCTATGAACCATCTTGTTATTATACTTATCTAAAACGGGTTTCAACATTATCGTCCAAGAACCTTTATGTATTTGTAATCTGTCGCTTATCATTTTCTTTAATGTTCTTATCATCCTCTCAGCCACATTCGCATGTGTCAATGTTATTTTATGAGTTATTCCTTCCCCTTTGAAATAATTTTGTAGTTTATTTGAATTAAAACTACCTTCATCATCACTATATACTGATTGAGGATGTCCCATAACTTTAAAGCATTCCATAAAAGCATCATATACGGGGTCAGTATCTTTATTTTCCATAACGACTACATGACATTTCTTACTAAAGTTATCAATACAAACGAAACCATAAATTGGATATTCTTTTTTATATGTTTTTGTATCTTTCATCAAGCTAATTACATTCATTAAATCTACGCTATACACAGACCTAGCAAATGGTGGCGAATAGCTGTTAGAGTTTTTATAATTCTTACGCTGTTTTAATGATTGATTTCTTAACCATTCCTTAACTTCTTCTAATGTTATTACTAATCCTGCTTTTCTTGCATCATTGTATAATTGCTTAGCACTACCAAAACCGCTTTCAATATCATAATATAACTCACTCAAAGTATTATTATTATCAGCCATTAATTAATATTATTTAGATATTAAATAATATTAATTCCACAACAACACCTTTTTAATAATTTTGTCTTGTAATTCCTTTTGCTTATTCTCTTCATATATTTCCTGACACCTTGCGGTGTTCTGATGCTTGGCTCTGTTTGTTTTACTGCTAATTATCTTTCCACACCTCTCACATTCATAGCTACAACTGTTTTTCTTATAATAATCAGTCCAATATCCTTTCTCCTTATATTTAGCATTCAACCTTTCATTTGTTGCGTTCTTCTTCATCCTATTAAAATCAGGCATTTTGTTATCTTTCATAGCGTTCCACATACAATCAAACAGGTCATCGTCTATCTGAAGTTTTACTCCATTTTCTGAGACAAGGTAGGAATTCATTATCTTAACTATAAATAGTAATTTGTCTTTAAGTAATTTTAGCATTTTCAGGCTAAAATGACATAAAGAGCAAATTATTTTAACTTGATATTCAAATTTTTAAACCTCTTGTCAGTGTCTCTTACAGAAGCTTCAACTGTAGGCTTATTCCAAAGTATATGTTTTGCCCAAAATCCAGCACTGTTGTAATCCTTCCAATCTTGATTTACGCTGTGTCTTGCTATGTATATTTGTTTTCTTTCTTCATCTTTATGTTTAGTAAAATCAGAGTAACCTGTAGCACCGAATGAAACAGTTTTCTTACCATCTATAACAGCATCATATTTTTTATCCTTTTTATCAGATTTTTTAATCATAACTTCAACCATATTATAATAACTTATACATTTATTATGAACTTACAGACCGAATACTTGAACTTCTCCTGCTTCTTGTATATTCTATTGTTTCTTGTGAGCGTCTTGAACTAATAATACTTTGTGGAGGTGTTGCTTCATCAACATATTCTATTGTCCTATTGCTTGGTATGGAACTCTGAACGGTTACTGGCGGTGAAGATTGGATATGTTCGCTTAATGCTTCTTCTTCAACAGGAAGTGAGTTCTCACTTGCTCTTGATGATGTTAAACCATCATCAACAGGTAATAAAGCGCTTCTACTTGTTGAACTTTTACTTGAACTTGAACTTGAAGGCTCATAAGATTTTTTAACATTCATTGACAAATCATCATCTTCTTCTTGCGTTTGTTCTTCTTGTATTTGTTCTTCCTCTGGTTCTTCTGCTTCTGTTTGTTCTCTTCTATTTCTTAATAGTTCTTCTCTTTCCTCTCTGTATTCATCACCGGCAAACATAGCATCATACATTCGTCTCATTATTGACTTTCCCCTTTCCCTTTCTGGCTGTTCTCTTTGTTGTTCTTGTTCCTGCATTGGTTCGTTTTCTGTTTCCTCGCTTTTAAAGGTTTCATAACCTAATGACTTGATGCTCTCGCTTTTTTCAGTTGATGTTTTCGTTTCAAACAAATCCGTCTGTGTTCCCTTGTCTGGATTATTCATTAATATTTCTATCGTATCTACTTAAGTCAAATTCATCAAAATCTACATCGTCTAACAATATACCTTGCTGTGTTCTCTTTTGTTTCTCTGGTAATATTTTTAATCTGTGTGTTCTCGCTTCCTTTTCAATTTGCTCAAATGTTGGTCGCTTCGTTAGAAGACCTCGCGAGGCTTCGCGACGTAATCTTAACATATATTAATAATGACATTTTTATACTGGTAAAAATGATTTCGCTAATGCTGTTGCTCCTGCTTTTGCTAATGTCTCTACACCGGCTTTTACTCCACCTATTGCAATATCTTTTAGTGTATCTGCTCCACTTGATGATGAAGCACTACCTTTACCTTTTCCTTTTTTCATCTCTCGCCATTCTATCATTCTTTTTTGTAGTAATTGGTCATTTACTTGGTCTGTCCATCTACCTGTTTTAATTAATCCATCAATATAATTTATTAAATAATCCTTTCTTGTTTGATTTCGTCCCTTGCCTTTTACTTTAAGTTTTGATATTTCTTCTTCCTGTTCAGGTGTAAGTTCTATACCACGCAAAAACAATTGAAATCTTATATCTTCTTCTTGAACGCTTTTATCTTGCCATTTTGTTATTTTTGTTGAATAATCAATAGTTTCTTTGTGTTTTCTCGCTTGGGCTGGTGCTTTAGTTGTTTCATCATCATCTGCTGGTATTAATTCTGGGTCATCGTCAAAATCTTCTTCCTCTTCTTCTCCTTCCTCTATATCTACTAAAGGTTCTCCACCATCCATAACACCAACCGGTAATGACTGTCTATGTGCTTCATCTAAATCAGCTCTTGCTGAAGATGCTGATGCTTGTTGTGCTTCTCTTTGTCTTTGTAAATATCTTTCCATTTCTGCCCTTATTCTTGTCATTTCTTCACTTGTCATTTCATCTTCATCCATATCCATTGCTTCATAAACTTCAGCAGGTGTCTGAAAACCAGCTGAAGCAATAGGCATTGTCCCTGTTCCTGCTTCTATTCCAGCTTGTCTTAATTGTGCTTGTCTTAAGTTTTCCCTTGCTCTGTCTTCTTCTTGCTTCTTCAATCCTAAAAAATCAACATTATCAAACTGACTTCCAAACTGATTATTTCTAAATATTGTTGCTCTTCTGTCTATTACTGTTTCAATTGATGGTCTGTTAGGGTCTCCTTGTGCTTCAATCATTCCTATCATTTCATCATAAGTTGGTCTCAAATTTAATTCCGATTTCAATGTTTTAATCATATACTATGATGTTAGATTTTATTTTTATTAAATATTAAAATAAAATCAAACTAAATTAGCCATAATCTCTTTTA